ATTCTTCTTCTTCTTTCTTAGCATTACAGCCCTCTGTGGGCGAAAGCTTTCTCTCTTAACTTCTTCCATTTCGTTCGATCTAACGCTAATGTATTGTAGTTAGTCACTTCCATTTTTTTTAAATCTGCTTCCACGATAACTAGCCACCTGTATTAAATCTTTTAGTTCGTGATTGAACCTGATTCTATATGTATCCGCAGTCCGCAAATTTTAGTGGTCCATATATTCTCCTTAATATTTTCGAATATTAGGAACAGATTGCAATTGGTAGCTTTTAAATTCCATACCACACATTCGTAGTTAAGTACAGGTCTAAATAATGGTTTGTAAATCTTAAGCTTTGTGGGCCTCGTCAGTGTTTTTCACTTCAATAATTTTTTATGGGCAAAATAACATTTATTAGCCGAATTGGTGCGTTCTTTAATTGTTACGGCAGAGTCGTTTATATTTGAAAAGCAAACGCCCAAATACAAATTGCGGCACATTTTCAAATGTATATACATATCTTCCTATGCTTATGTTCCGCGGATTTCTCACCGTTCTACTTTTAAAAAAATATTTAGCTTTTGACTCATTTATTTCTAGGCCAATTTTTGTAATGGTTTCGACTAATTTATTGAAAATTTCTTTTAGATGAACAATATTTGATTATTTTTATTGTATATTCCATAGGTTTATATCCAACTGCACACACATGCAACTGTATGATCGCATCCAATTAAGCAATTAAACATTTTGTAATATCTTACAAACAGAATGCGATTTTTAGTTAACCACAATTGATCTGAATTGACGCAATAGTTTGGGTGTTTTGATGTGCGCAAACAGTAATTGCAAAACTAAAAATTGTATGTCTGTCTTAATGCTTACTATAACTTTTATTTTGGATCATAATACACAGTATACAAACATATACCCAAAATCATGATAAACATACACATGTACAAAAATTCACATAGGTCACATATAGGGACACAATAAAGAGTATTTAAAGTAAACTATATGTAATTTGATATTTACAATAAAACTTAAAACCTGAAAACAATAATAGATTGTAAAATATGAAGACTACTACATGTATAGCTTCTATGGACATCATCTAAAATGTCTTCAAATTTTATTCGCAAAAATTTCAAATGCTTCGCCTATTTATATTCTACCGAAGCTAAGAGCTTCATTTTATCTCAAATCCCCCTATTTTATTGCCGTAAAATGGCCACCTTTATTGAAGATCATAAAGTATTGAATCGATTTGATTATATACATTTCTGCAGTTTCCCGAAAAACAACTTTCTTTTTATCTTCTTTTTTTCTTATTATTAAAGTATAAAATATTTTGCAATAATATAAAAGTGTAAATATATTAGGGTGTATACAGTGAGTGTGTAGGTAAATTGGTTAAAGCTGGATAAACAAAAATAACAGTTTTATTTTTATCTTCGAATCTTAAGAATATTTATAGTATACACGTACAAGTGATTGTTTATTATATATATATGTATTTTTATGTGAGTAAAATGCACATCTTGAGCACTCATATAATAAGCGCACAATATTAAGAAAAAACTCCTGCAACTTTTTCTTTTATTGTATATCAAGATCACGAATATTATTTTTATTTCTATGGAATAGAATTTTATAAAATTAGAATAGCTTCTGAGTATAAAGAGGATTAACTTCTAATTCAATTTGTTGACAAGATAACGGTTCTAAGTAATAATAATGTATCAGAGAATGCGATTTTTTGTAACGAAAATTATAGTGATTATTCTTCCTGTAAATCTTATAGCTTTAGAATCTAGTATAAATTGAAAATTATGAAACAAGTATGAAAAACTGAATTTTGTACCTATATGCTTTCTATATATTGTCTTTATATATGCTTAATAATTTCCGTAAAAAAATATTTTTGGATTTTTTTCTATTTAAATTCAAAAACTGTACACACGCACGCACAATTTAACTAAATTTATTTTTATAACAGTTACATATCTCTACTAGTGATAAAGTAGTTAGTAAAAAAAATATGTAAAAAATATGATGATTAGTAAAAAAAATATGGATCATTATAAATTTGCTTATAGCTGAAATCAGAGAATGCGGAAGTTTTGTTTTATTTCATTTGTTTGTATACAATACATAGTTTATATAGTATCCGTTGCATAAATTTAGGCGTACGTCAAGATTTTTATATTTTTGTGTTAGTAAACATTTTTTAATAAAGATTTCGTCAATTAATCCTAGAATGAAACTGTTCCATATATGGAATACTGTATTCTTTGGAACTATACCTTTACATAACATAAAAGTAACAAATATAAATCTTAATTTTGGAACACTATATAATATATATAGTGTTACATAATATATATAATTTTGAAAGACAACTAGATTGCTATTAAATAATATTTGTTACTTTCTTCTGGTACAAAATTCTGCAATGTTATCAGTTAAAAAACATTTAATTATAGATAACATATTTGTGAAAAATATTATTGTGCAAATGAACTCTTGTCTATACAGTTGAGATACAGCTCTAATACTTATATTATAAAATTTTTTGCTGAAATGTAGAAAATGGAATTTTGCTCTTGGTATTTTCACTTGGTATTTCATTATTGATACACACGACATTTTCCTGTTCTATTGCTGCTCTTCAATACTTTTTTATCGTTTGCTTTCAATCAATTAACTGGCTATAGTATTTTATCAAACTCTCTTAGTTTTCATTAGGATCATTTTCATCCTATATATACATTAATAATAACCCTATGCTTCATTATATAAGTAGAGACTTCATATTGTCATCATCTCGATACAAAATTCTATGATCTCTCAGATATTTGCAAATTTCCGGAAATAATAATCCTCCAAATAAAAATTCTTAAATATTACAAAGACATGACAAAAGACTAGCATATAAGACTGAATAGCATTAAAAGTTATTATGGTACTAAGTGTTTCTATAAAATTAAAATCTAATTTCAGTCCAGTAAATTTTGTAAAAATTAAGAAAAATGTAACTTACTTCTTTTTGATTCGCCATAATTATTCAATTGAAAATAGCTAATAAAAACAACAAAAGCCTTTTCCGTGCCAATTTCAAATGTTATAATTTTTAAACATTATCTTGACCTTCCTCCACTTAAAAAACCATTGACATCCTAGATATAGTTTCAAATAGTAACAAGTAAGCAATATTCATTAAGTCGTGTTTTGTATTCCATATAAGAAACGCGCACGTCCCTATAGTAGTTTAAGTTTAAATTATTAATTAATATGATGTACAAATTTATTAACAATATTGTGTCTGGTGAATTTCAATATCAATTCTATTTTTGTGTTTCAATTATATTTCAAATATAATATTAAAATTTTTCAATCATAACAAATTTAAAAATAGAATGTAAACAATTTTTTTCTAATTCATGTACAACACAGTACACAATACGTATATATGTATAATGCCGAAAGTATAATATATAAAATATTTTCCAAAATGATCTAGTAATAATTTTTTTATTACTAGAATTTTTGATTAAAAAATAATTTTCGTATATAAGCATGATTCGGTTTAATACAATATTAATTTACGGTTATCAATTAGGAAGAATGCAATACAAACCGGACTTAACAGTTAATATTACTTGAATTTTAAAGGACATCTTGCATTTTTTAATAAAAATAAAATTATTATATTTTAATTTCAATTATACTATTTCATACTAATAATACATAAATATAAATTATAATAATTATTTAATTTGAATGTCATTCAGATCTCATTAATTTATAATAATAATTGATAGCTTTTTGACATTAATGATAATTCGTTAAAAATAAAATCATATTAAACTTACTACATATGTATATAGAAAATCGTAGAAAATCGTGTTCTATAAAATCTTGAAAATTTTTTTTTAGGTCAAACCACATACATACATATAGCAATTAAAATGAAATAAATTTAAAGGAAACAAAAATTGATTTTATAAAGTGTTTTATATGCGATTGAAATATTTAATGAGATTTATATATATATATATATATAGGCTTCTTATATATTAGATATATATATAGGCAGTGATGAGTTAGTATATGACTTTAAAATAATTGATTCGAACAACGTAATAACATTGATATTATTATTGCAAAATTTAAATATGGGTAAAGTTTTTAAAATTTTAAATTTTTCTAACAAATTCTCTTGAATAAGATTTTCTGTGTTAAAATTGTATGAAATTCGTATAAGAAAATAAAAACACTTTAGAGAATTGCTTTAACATATTTACTCTAATTTATATTAACTCATGAGTTCCACCATATTCCGATGAAAATTATTGGTATTTGATGAATCAGTCCTAATATCCAAATTTGTTCACAAAATAATTAGAGATTGTGAAAATTCTAAACGATATTTCAATATTATGTTCTGTTCCATATCAGAAGCTCTATCATGTATTCGAACCCTCGCATAATTACAGTTATTTTCGATTTAAGAGATTTTGTTAAATTTGTGTGAATTTCATCAATTACATCTATTATAACCAACAATTATTTTAATTAAACTGTATATACTGTTATATTACATCAGTATAATTATACTATACTATTAATTATCGGTACCTTGTTAGAAAGTATATAGTACACAGCTTCAATATCACCATTTAATTTTGTAAGGCAAGCTAACAATGTTAAATCGGATTTAAGAAATTTTCGCGACTGTTAATATTTTTAAATAAATTAGAAATTTTTTATTTAAAAATTTTGATATTATATTCTTTTATATATATGTAAATCTGTTATTTTTTTTTTTTTTTTATTATAAAGGCACGTTTTCAAATACAAAAATATTTAAAACTACAAATAGCTATAATATATAACTTAAAATTTACTATAATACTATTAAATAATTATTTTAATAATTTTTAAATTTTTCAAATTTTTTTTTTTAAAAAAAAAAGAATTATAATTTTAAGTCTCTTATTTAAGTACTGCTTATATATATATTTTTTTTTCTCCAATTAGACAATTTAAAAATTATTCTAAAAACATTTTTTTATTCAAATTATAAAATATAATATTAAAATATTAAATTAAATTTTAATATATATTTATATATATATATATATTATAATTATATACTTGATAGTAGTCGACAAATACCATAACTATCTCGTACACTATCTGGACCACATTGTTCTGTTGCACCAATTAATTTTAATTCAACATCACTATTAAATCCATTACTACTGTTTTCAATAAAATCACTATGTTTTATTGCATCTTCAATAATATTATTTTGTTGTAAATCATAAATTGAATTGTCATCATTTCCATCATTTTTATAATCATCATCATCATCTTTATTATTATAATTATTAGAATTACCATTATTATTTATTCCAATAATATTATTATTATTAGCTGGATTATTATTTAATATTATTCTATGATATGAAATTGGAGGATATAATGTTGCATCATTAGAATTTAATTGAATACCAAAATATGTTGGATATTTACTATTATGATAATTATTATTATTATTATAATATGATGTTGTTGGTATATCACGTTTAATAACAGTACTATCATGTTTATTTATATAATTACTATATATATTATTACCACCATCACCTCTTAAAATATTATTAAATTGTATAATATCTAAATCAGGATCTGGAGAATAAATAAAAGAATCTCTAATAGATTTTGCATAACGTCTACCTATATTATTATTATTATTATTAATATTATCATTATTGAAATATGATGATGAAGAAGTAGTAGTAATACCATTAGCATTATTAGTATTAGTTGAAGCAGAAGGATAAATTGTACGAGGATTTGGGGGAAGAAAAACGGATGTTGATCCAGGTATACCAATTCCATTAGTAAAACGGGTAAAGAAATCCAAAAAATTACCTCTTGCAACAGATGCCGGATTAAAATTACCATTCAAAAAACCACGTTGATTTTGATCTTGTTTTTTATGTTGATGTTGCTGTTGCTTATTATTATTATTATGCTGTAATGGAGATGAGGATTGTTGTAATGGTTGTTGCTGTTGTTGTTGCTGTTGTTGAATTGGTAATGATGAAGGATTATAAATATTTGTTGGTACTTGAGGTGGTATTGCATGTGCTGTTGAATGTTGTACAGGTATTTGAACAACATGTGGCTCAATTTCTAAATGATATGGTTTCATTAAATGTTGATAATTAATTGGATATGGTGGCGGTATAACATCTATTTGGGAATCAGTTCCATCATTACCAGAATTTTGAAATAATTTCTCTTGATTTAATTCACTTGATGCAATATTACTTGATATATCAACACGATATGGTGTACGACCTTCAATATAATCGGAAATTTGATTACCATTTACAATATTATTTGAATTTAGAAAATTATTTGAATTTTGATGTGATTGTAAGATTTTATTTAAATATGACATATGATTTTGATTATGTTTAGATCGTTCTGATGTAAAATGATTCGATTTTGTATCATACATTTCTGAACCATATAAATAATGTTTTTTATTAGATTTTTTTGTATTTGCACGTTTTGATGCAGATCTTGTTAATAAATCTAATAGACTAATACCGGCTGATGGATTTGGTGGTATAACAACAATCATAAAATTATCTAAATCAGCACGAATATTATATTGTCCTTCTTGACGTTGATCAAATGTTATTAATTTTCTAGTTGGAGGTAATTTTGAATTATCGATTTCTTCATCGGAAGTATTTTCAGAATCATCTTCGCCAGTAAGTAAATTTGATAATGATGATTCAGTTGATGGTTTCATTGCTGAAGATATTGAAGGTCCAAAAGATGATGGATTCATTGATGGTTGTAATGTTGTTAAAATTTCTTTTTCTGTTGATGGTTTAACTGAAGACGGTAATGGTGATGATATTGGTGATAATGTTTCTCCTAATACTTCATCATTCAATGTAATTAATGGTAATTCTGATGATTCTTTATTTGATGATATTGGTTTTTCTTCATTGAATTTTTCACTAGCTACTGCATATTCAAATGATATTAATCCAATTATTAATATTATTGAAATTATTCGAGTCATTTTTAAAAAATTTTCTTTTCTGATGTGATCCAATTACAGATATTTTATTTTAGGCTTGAAAAAGCAATGATTCAGTATAGTTTAGTAAAATATTTTTCGTTTTTATCTTTTCTCACATATGCTTTAAGTTTTTATTTTATGAAAAGAAGATGCTTTCACTGCCAAGTTCAAATGTGTACTAAAAATGATGCTGATATTCTGATCACAGCATTTTACTTTGTATAATTTTATTTATTTTTTTATTTTTTTTTTTTTTCATATTTTCTCTTTTCTTTCTTTTTTGTTTTCTTAAAACGTAATTCCATTAAATAATAATGTAAAATGTATAAAGACCTATATTTATATATATATATATATATATATTTTATTTTAAATATATTATTAACTGGGTACATAATATAATGTAATACATCTACATACATACACACCTATTTGATTTAATTTTGGTGTACTTGGTGAACGTTGTTCTACTTTAACTGAAACACTATATATTTTTGTGAGATGTGTCGTGTGGTAAGAATATAATATGTACATAGTTACCCCGTCCTATTGAACCATTGAAATGCGATTACTATATGATAGGTTAACAAGCAAAATTTTGAAGATTTTATTACTGTTTTTAAGAAAAAATTTATTATTTAAAAAAATATGCTAAAAATTTTAATTTTAACCAATAATTTGTTTGAGTCAATTGTAATTGAAATGTTGAAGAGCCCTAAATTAATTTATATGCACTAATATATTACACAATATATGAAATATTTTAAAGATGATCTTTCACGAGAGGAGCTGAACAACATTTTTCTTCCACCGAAATTATTGCAAAAAATTTAATTTTTGGCAATGGTTTTTGAAAAATTAAGGCTTTAAATGGTATTCGGCATGACTTAGGAAATGGCTCTCGGTATGACTTAGAAATATTGCTGCATATTTCGGAAAAAAGTTGTCGTCATATTAAACTAAAAGACATTATGAAGCCTGTACTTAAACACATTAAAAAAATTGATTTATTCCAAATTCTTAGAAATTGGATGCTAATGCCTCTCATGTTAATTTTACATTGTTTTGTCATAGATTAAGTTTATTTTATAATGAATGACTTTTCCAAAAATTAGTCAATTTCACTGAATGCAAAGTTCAAATCACATCTGTAATCCTCATAGTTTATCCCCAAAATACCCCCAAAAAATTTCGAATATAATAAATAAAAGCGCTTTATAAATTTGTTAAAAATAAATGAACATTTTCTCAAAAAATTTTTAACATCTGTCTGCATTTATGCTTTCAAAGAGTGGGAATTTGGTTAAGTAAAAAAAAAAAGCAAAAAAGCAAAAGCTAAAATTATTCTACCGGAATCTGTAGATTCTGATAATCGTGAGTTTACAATCTATATATGTAAGTATATGAATATACAAATATATAGAATTAACATTCTACAGATTTGCATGTACATAAGTATATAACAATATTTTAATATTTGTTCAAAAATACTGTTATTATACTCATCATTATATAGCACACTTATATACTCTTATTTATTCGACATGCAATTCCCTGTTACTTTTATAACGTTTGTAAAATTTGTACTCGTTTCTTTTTTTTATTTATTTTTTTTTTTTTAATTTTACATAAAATTTTTTTTATTTATTTTTAAATTTATTTATATTTTAGAATGAAAACAGTGATGTATTCAAAATAATTAGTTGATATTTTTTGCCCCCCTTATAAATGAAATTCTTTTAAAATTTGAGCATTGATTTGGTGAAAGAAAATTATAAAATATGAAGATTAGCAAAAATAATATCAAATATTACCATTCTAACCATATTGTTGCTCGTATAAACAAGACAACAATGAATATTGCAGGAGCCTCCTCTCAATATCCTTTTCTTGATATTAATAAGAATGTTTGAAAAGTTAAAAATTTATTCAAAATATTAAAAAAATTATTGTAATTCTAATTAACAGAAATATTGTCCTAGTATGCAGACTAAATAATTTTGACAATAATATTGCATGCAATTGTCATAGAACAAAATTCTGATTGTTCAACAAACAGTATACTTTTTAAAGATTTAGAAATATTTGTTATATATAGATATTTAAATATTAACCATTTGTTAGTGTTTATATATCCACATATTAAGATACAAGTTCCATTTAGATACAAGTTCCATTTCAAATTCAAATTGAATTTGATTAAGCCCCAATCCCATTTAATAGTTTATTACTTTTTTAAAACAAAATCGTAATAAAGGCAATAAGATCTCCTTCACTGATCTATAAACTAATTACAAATGTGCAAGCTATAATTCCCGAAATTCGCCGCCGTAAATTACAAGATTTTATAATGACATTCAAATATTTCACTTTCGATATAAAAAAAAATGCATTTCATATGACAAATCTAAAAAAAATTTTTATTATAAAGCTTTAATAAGAAGATTAATTAATTGAGTCTACATCGTGTACAAATTTGATGAATCGTGAACAAATTTGATAGTAGAACACAAATTTGATGAATGAAAACCACGAGCTATTAGGTTAGCAATAATCTTTCTGATAATTTTGACCAATTACAAAAAAAAAAATTGTATAATTTATGAATGATTTATTAAACTTTCTGTTTCTAATAATAAAGAAAAAGAAAAAAACACCGGTTAGCAGCAATATTATTTTGCATTTTAATTAATTATAAAATAAATTTTGAAAAACTTTTAGTTTTGATAAACAAACAATCTATAATAATATTACAAGCCATTAAAAGTTTAGACTGAAAAATCAATAAATCAATAAATAATTTTATATTTTAATTTACACACGGGGGGCTACAAATATGAAATTTTTCTATATAGATAACTTGTTTTCATATATTTTTAATGTTAATGACCCTATTTATACAAAATAATAAAATAAAAATGAAAAGGTTACCCTGTTTATTATTCGTTTTTATTACAGAATATAATAATATCTAACATGATAAGTGTTCTTCCTGAACTTTTATATTTGCGATTAAAATTCATATTAAAAAATATAAAAAGAAAATAAGAATTAGAAAAGAAAGAAGTTATTAATAATGATAATGGGTTACCTTAATAAATAACTTTTTTTTTTTATGATTTGTCTTTTAATAAACTATCAGATAGATGTTAATTGATAAATTATACAAAAAAAAATTTATCCACTTCTGTTTTTCTAACAATAACTTATTCGTATAACAGTTTCCATCGAAAGAAAAACGCTTTTATGCAAGGTAGAAATTTTTTTAAAAATTTAATCCCATAATATTATTTAAATTAATTATACTTTTCATAGAATAATTTCCCATTTTGCTGAAATTTTTACAGGTCATATTCCTTGGCACGATTTATGAAATCGGTATATGCACTAGGTACGTCCCATTTTAAAGAATGAAATCCTTTATTTTTATTGTTGAATCATTAAATAAATTCAAAAAGGTTAAGTTTATTCCTCTTTTGTAAAACAACTATTACAATAATACTAAATTTTTATTTTCCTGTCATTTTTAGAACTTTTCAAAAAAAAAAAGAAATTGGAAAAAAAATACTTACTAATTTTATTCTGCCCATCCGTTCGTCTGTCCGTATGTCTGTTTATAAAATTTCTATACACTATTTGAGATGAAAAGGTGAAATTTCGTACACAAATAAATCTTTAGTAAAAACTTATTTCTGTAAAAGAAAATTTTTTACTTATCTCCCCCTCCCTAAAAGTTACAGTCTTGCCAAATCCTAAAAAAGCCATATTTTGACTATATTTGCTGCAAGGAAGCCATCATCATTTTTTGAACTCCACAAACATAACAAGATAGCAAAATGCTCGTCTTCTACAGCTGCACAGAAGCAATTAAATGTTAAATTGATAAAATGACTGTTATGGATAGTTTTCATTACTTAAAATTTTTTTCAATTTTTTGATATCGTTTTTCTTCTAGATTGGAACTTTCCTTCTTTCTTTTTAGTACTATGAAATTTCAGCAGCTTTTATACAATAATAAATAATTAATTTCATAAGGAAATTTTTTTTCAATTCCACTTTATACCAAGTTATCACACTAAGAAATTCATAAAATTTGAATTTTTGGCACCTTATAATTCCAAAATTTTAAAATGTTTTACAAATTTTTATTAATAATCGAAAAGATAACGGTAATTGCCATACAATCAAAAAATATAACTATTTATCTTAACTTACTAACTGAATCGTCCAATTCAATCTTTATATTAATGCTTCTTTCAATATTTTCTCTTATGTATCCTCTTATGTATCCTATAAGTATGCAATAAATTATTAAATTTTTATATATGAATAAAAGTAATTCAAATACGAAATGTAGTAGCTTATTACAGCAATATTTTCACTTGTTCAATGGAAAAGTGCTTTTTTTGCAAACCATTTGTTTGATCCAACTTTATTTATCAATTAACTTGACATTGATCATCATCTTTAAATTTAATTGACATATAAAATTTGTGATTCAGCTATAAGAACTTGAAATTCATTGTTGATTTAAGAAAATCTTGACTGTAAAACAAAAAAAACTTTATATACTATACGAAAAATATTAAAATTAAAGTTTTGTTATGATTTTGTTGTGACATGAAAAGAGTACAATTTCAATTCTATAACAGAAGAGACATAATTTATAGGAGACCTTTTAAAAGTTATTGCATCCAATTGATTAAGTTTATAATGAGTTAGTATGGTGTTGACCTAAATTTTATATTGATTCAAACTTATTGTTTTGTGTAAAATATTTTTATTAGTTACTTCTTGTATAAGAGTTACTCTGAGAAATAATATGAGTGAATTCATAAGTTTTACGAAGGTTCTTGTAAAAAATCGTGTTTTGTGTTGGGACGTATGTTAATTAATAATGTTGCACTAAACATGCAATGTTCCTGCAAGAAAATGAATATCTAATGTAAATATTTAAAGAAATATTTTCGGTTTGCATATGAAAAGATTTGCATCACATATGACATAGATAGTCTGTTATAAGCCACAAAATCTGTTAAAGATTAATTAGCCAAATTATGTGCAAACTTTTCTTAATTTGCGATAGAAAACTAAAAATCATCTTAAATCATTAAATAAAAGTCAAGAAAAAAAATTTAGTAGAAGTAAAAATAATTAATACTTTAAAAAAAAAAACATGCGAAAGCAAAAAAAATTGAGGTTTAGACTTATTTCATTTAATTACATACACATTTATATGTATGTATATACATACAGATATGGTTAGATTTTTTTAGCATCCTAAAATTTTTCTCTTTTCTTTTGACCGTATTCTGTATAAATTGATGCGTTGCACATACATATAGTTATACTTACATTACATCGTGTATTTGCACTATAATGAAAACACTATACAGTCAAGTTTAGTGATATTATGGGTGAGAGAAGTTAAAGAATATTAAAATGAAAACTTGACATAAAAGTAATTAACACTTGATAAATTTAAGCATCAACAATACATAGTATAATATATAATATATAAATAATACAGGAAAAATCAACATTTTCCAATTCTCATGTTTAATATACCATAATAGAAAATAAATAATTGAAAAGTGCAGATATAGTGAAATTTTGTTTTCGTGTATAACACCAGTCAGTAAATAATAATGCTATAATGATATTGGATATAAAATAAAAATTTACTTGGGGCCAATATATATATAAACATGTCAACTTTCCTATTTAAAAATGTAAGTCTAAAAGGTCTCAAAGTATAGGGTTTGATGCATGTGATTTTACTTAATTTCTATGAAGCTTCATCTGGAAAAAAATTCATTTATTTTTTGGCATCTACTAATAGCTTTTAGTTTAGAGCTGGTGATGCTTAACCTTCTGCTCATGAACCACATTTTTTCAATATTTTTTCACAGCTCTCATAAATTTTCATAATTACCTATATTAATAACTGTAGGAGCTGCTGTGACGAGAAGGATGAGGAAACGGTGACCCATCTGCTATGCTCGTGTCCGGCGTTGGCGAAATCCACGCGAAGGTTTCATGGGTCCCAATTTTTTGAGCTGGCCACGGACCTAGAGAATGTAAATACTAGGGACCTTGGCCGGTTTCTGAGGAACTCAGGCTGGTTCTATTGAGGGAGAGAGGGAGGATCCGGCGGCATCACAACGAGCCTAAGTGGCCTAGGTGTACCCTTCGGGGGGCCGTGCAACCTAATCTAACCTAACCTGTATTAATATGGGTGGCATAAAATTATTAAAAGTGTGTGTAAATATATTTTCTGTTTTGTTTGATTAAATTTATTTTAATAATTTATTTACGGGCTATAAAATTGAAATTACGCTTGCAGAAAACCAAATTAATAAAAAACTTTTGATTGACATTACTATAATTTGCTTGATTTTATAAATTAAACAATTTTTACTCTGCTGACAAAGATAAAAGAGAAAGAACTTTAATGCACTAAAAAACACCCTCCTCAAAATAAATTATGAAACTAGCCAGAAACGACGATGTCTAACTTTTAATTAATTTTGGTCTAACTTTTTTGATTATTTACCAGTTTTTCATCTGGCACAATAGCGTACTCATTATTCCACATCAAAATTGTCATCACATTGCCTTCTGAACTCCAAATGAATATACTTGATTCGAAATGTCACTGCAATTTAAGAAATTTTAAAAATCAGAAGAGCAAATATTTTGTTCCTTAAAAAAAATTCCCTCATGAACCATATTTTATACCTATACTCAGAAGGCAATATAAACTCGGTTTCTTATTTGTTATCTTTTTTTAATTTTCCTTTTCCACAAACATTGGAATCATATTTACAAAGATACAGTATGTCAATAAGATGTGGGATATTTAGAAAAAACAAAAAAGAAAGTTTCTTAATTCCGTTATATAGAATATATTCAAACAGATACTCGTATACAAGCATACACACATGATATACAACCATAAGTGTGTTTAGCACTTATGAAAAGGTATAACCAGCAAGTAAGTACATAGACGACTAAATATAAACCAAAAAACAAAGTAAATACGTATTGTGTACACCAAAATTGACGGTAACACATGAATTAAGTTATTTATTTATCAATTATTATCATACATTATCAAAGAGAGCTGGAATGCTGCAGTAAATGGATTATAGGTTTCGATTATCCAATAGTCATTCTTTCAGACTTTCTTTATACAATAACAAGTAACAACATCAATAACAACAAAATAAGTAAAATATATGTACATATTATGTTTACATACATACCTAAATACCTGTATAAATATCAGGAAAGTTTTCTTCATTAGTTCATCGATGTATGTATACGTACATAAGAACAGAAACAGGTTCAACAAACTTTTCATGGGATTTCTTTAGAAAATAATGAGAATTTTTTTAATTTGCTCGTTACTCTTTAACAAATAATATTATAAACTTTGATTTATATCGTAATTTAAAGCAGTGATAGATAATTAAAAAAAAAAGTGTTCTTTTTTCTCTTTTATCTTCGTACCTATTTTTGTTTTGATAGAAAACAAAGAGTATATTTAATGACATAAACACAAAGGAATCTGTATGCAACTCTAAGTACTCGTGTATAAGATCTTCAACACCTGTATAATATGAATTGATTATACATATAAGAACGTATGTTTATAACGTATAATATCCGTTGAAACAGGTTAAAAGTTAAGATAATATATAAAAAAAATAAAGAAAAGTAATTGATTATTTTAATACCTTGTTTTTATTTATTGATTCATCAATTGTTTTAACAGGTTATAGTATATAGTTACACCTGATTTCGACTTCTTATTTCTGGTTACAAACATACACAACATGTAAATATATAAGTAAATATAGTGTAGGTAGAAGGTTAACAAGGAGCTGTAAATTCACTTAAAGTTTTGGTGCAATTTACTTAGTACTTTTAGTGCAATAATTTTGTATGGAATTAGATATTTGTACCTATATACACATATGTATACAATATAGCGGAAATAAGCCCACACAGTCGGGGATTTTCTACTTGTAATTTGCATTTCAGACATAAATGCACAAATTCGCATTTACTCCTGTAATTTGCAATTTAAAATATTATGTATAAAAACCCAAGTATGTTTTTATATCAAAGAAAAGTTTATTTAAAACCTCATCTAAAAATTTATGCAAAACAAAAATTATTACCCATATTATGTATACACGCATAATACATTACGTACATAAAAGCAAGGACAAAAGAAAAACAAAAAAACGTATATACTAATCTACATTCATTAGAAAATAGTTGTTAATAGTTAAACCCAATATTTCAATTTTCCATTTGAAATATTCATGGAAAAAGTTGTGCACTTATGCATATTGCAATTACCCGAGTTAATAAATGAGAAGTATATTTGGTGGTCTATTTTGACTTGATAATGATATATCACTCCGTTTGGATTTAAAGTAACTAAAAATACGGTTAATTACGGTTATTTAGTTTGTGGTATTTTTATTTTCTAATCTCACAGCATAGGTTTCAATTCCAACTATTGACTAAGAGTTTTGAAGTGAAATAGACTAAGGTCACTCTCAAAATAAATCGTCATATATGAATGGTATGTGATAGCCGTCGGCACACTCTTGTGAGTTATGAGCAAATATATACTATATGAGTATGAGTATGGACCAGTCAACTTTCTTACATTACCTACTTACAAGAAAAATGACATTTTCAACTGGCTTTATTGATTGTTTTGTTTTCACAAATAATAAATTTGTATGGAATTTTAATTTCCTATCTATATTATCTATGATTGAATTCTTAAAATTTTTTTGAAAAATTTTAATAATTACAATCGAATAAATTTTTGCCTTGCAACCAATATGATAGGCCGCATTTTAAAATTGAACGGATCGCACTTTGCCATATATAGGAATAGCAAAATTGCTTATTAAACCAGTTTTTTGTATTATTATCCGTGTTGCACTTAAACGTGATCTATTGTGGTTATTTCCACTAAATTTGCTTTGCTTTAGTTATCAATAATTATAATAATAAGTCAATAATGACGAGTAATAATAAAAAACATTTTTTAAATAACAAAAAATTTTTCAAGATCTCATACAGATTACATAGTACATACGAGTATTACAATATTTTGTAAAATATTAATTATTTTCAATATTTAATTCCACATTTTGAATTAAATATTGTCATTTATTTTTCGAATTACATTTAGTCCAAATTTTAACTAACATTTTAAAGTTAACTTCCGAATACAAAATCAATAACTAATACAAATTAAATAAATTCAAAAACGTTTTTATGAAAGAACTCGATTTTATTATTTTAAGATGTTGAAAATTATTCCAGTTTCACAATTAAAATTATTATTTCTTGTTAAAACAATAATATTATTAGAATATAATATGTACTGGTATATCTATAATAGTATAATAACGCTCCCAGAACCGATTGAAGATAATTTTTATTAAATGCGTTGAATATGGAACTTGTTATATAAATTTTTCGTCAACAACTTACTTTTGAACTCAATATTTTATTGGTTTTTTAAAATTAATTATTCTAAATATAGGGAATAATTGCCTGAACAATATAAAATTCATAAAAAAAAACTATTTGAAAACCTATAATTAAACTTATTTTAAGTAAATAAAATAAAAGGACTATAAAAGGATAAACGATCATAATAAATTCTTTTAGTTGTTATAAAGTCATTTATTGAGTGGTATAATTATAAAATTAAAAAGGAGTGTAATTTCAAAGCAATATGTTCTGGCAAACAAGTTTTGATGATGATTCATCGGTTCATCCAAGTTTAAATCCAAATCAAAGACAATTTCTTGAAGATGAGAAACGTTTTAAGATTCGTGCAAATGGTGTTCAACCAGAATATGTTAAAACTAGTATAGGAAAATTGATGACTGACAGTATTGGTGTAATTGATAATGAACAAAGCGATGCATTAGATAAACATGATTCATTTTATCATACTACAAAATCATTATTAGTTCTTTTTCAAATAATGGGTGTGATGCCAATTAAAAGAAATCCAAGAGGACAATTAAAACGAACTGGTTATGAATGGTTGTCAGGTGTATTTTTATGGGCGTTTTTTGTATGGTCTCTTGAATCTATTATAGTTGTATTTGTATTAAAAGAACGTGTTAATGCATTTAATGCTAACAATGAAAATAAACGTTTTGATGAAGTAGTTTATAATGTGATTTTTATAAGTATTTTATTTACACATTTTTTATTACCAATTGCGGCATGGAGACATGGTCCTCAAGTGGCAATATTCAAAAATATGTGGACAAATTATCAATTGAAATATTTAAAAGTTACTGGAACAGCAGTTGTTTTTCCAAAATTATATAAATTAACATGGGGACTATGCTTTTTTTCATGGGGTGCAAGTGTTGCATTATGTTTATCTCAATTTTATTTGCAACCAGATTTTGTACTATGGAATACATTTGGATATTATCATATTTTTGCTATGTTAAATGGTTTTTGCAGCCTTTGGTATATTAATTGTACTGCATTTGGAGTTGCAAGTAAAGCTTTAGATACTTATCTAGTAAATACTTTAGAATCAGAAAAACCAGCTGAAAAATTAACTGAATTAAGACAGTTATGGGTTGATTTAAGTCATATGATGCAACAACTAGGTAAATTATATTCATATGATATAAAATATTCAGGAAAATTGAAAATTATTACAATTTTTGCAAAATTTATTTAACTTAATTTTTTTTTTACTGTGTAAGGGCGTGCTTATTCAAATATGTATGGTATTTATTGTTTGGTAATATTTTTTACAACAATTATTGCAACTTATGGTGCCTTAAGTGAAATCATTGATCATGGTGCTACATACAAAGAATTCGGTTTATTTGTTATTGTATTCTATTGCATGTCTTTACTTTTTATTATATGCAACGAAGCTGATTTAGGTAAATTAAATTATAAAAAGACGCAAAAAAAAAACAATATTTTTTTATGTAAATTATATTAGATTATTTTTTTATTTTATAGCTTCCAGGCGTGTCGGATTAGAATTCCAAACTAGATTACTAAATGTTAATCTTACAGCAGTCGATAATTCAACTCAGAAAGAAGTTGAAATGTTTTTGGTTGCTATTGATAAAAATCCACCAACAATGAATTTAGATGGATACGCTAATATTAATAGAAAGTTAATAACATCGGTATGATTTATAATTTAGTCCAATTTTATTTTCACTAATTTTTTAATTAAAACTTTAGAATATTTCATTTATGGCAACATATTTGGTGGTACTATTACAATTTAAGCTAACTTTACTGAGAAAAACAAAAAGTCCAACACCAGCAGATATAAATAATCATTAAATTTCTTTTGTCACACTCAAATCATTGTTCCTATTACCGTTTTAACAATAAGAAAGTATTATTAATGAAAAATTAATAACTATTATCTTATATTTATAATCAAAATAAATTTTATTTCAATTAATAATTATTAATAAATATTCACAAAAATTCTCTGCAAATTTTTAAATACAAGTTTTCAATTTAAAAATTAGTATCTTTGTTCGATTACAAGTTTCTAATAATATAATTGAAAATACAGAATAATATATACATATATATTATATTATGCTATAAATAAGCAAATAAACACACATAAACAAGTAAGTGAATTTTCGTGCCTCTTCAATTGTGCTCACATCATATTTTATCCTTACTTTATAAATGTATGTACTATATAACACGTCATGAATGATAAAAGCACAATAAAGAAGATGATTACACCATAGTATATGCATTTGTTTAGTAATATATTTTTAAATTTTTTATAAGTTTTGAATATGATATGGCAGATGGTTATATTTTAGGTTGGCTTCAAAAAAAAAAAAAAAACTCAAGTTTTTAAATAGAATTTTAAACTAAACGAATGTTTTAAACCAAAAGCCAAACAATTTTGTTGGGTTTTATTATATATGAAGTTGATGAAAATCAAGAGAGGTAACAAAAAATAAACGTACTTATGCTTATTTTTTTAACATTTAAAATAGAATATGTTTATACTTAATTCATAATTACTCATTTAATAATGAATATGTTAACGCGAAAACGTTTTTTAATTTAAAAATTTAACTTAATTTATTAAAAAAAAAACTGCAAAAATAATCTCGAATATTATGTGATAAAATTTTTAACTTAACAAATAATAGCAGCCGAATTATAAATTATAAATTTAAAATAGTTGAGCAATATATTAGAATCTCTTTTTGTTCTTAAGAAATCATGGAGAATTCTTATGATTTTGCACAAAAAAATTAATTGATATTAAACTAGATACTATTATACAGTTAAAAAAAATTATATAAAATAAAATAAAAATTTAGAATTCAATTTGCATTTAATATAATAATACTTAATGATAATAAACACAGCATAATTTTATGATAGTGATATTTTGGTTAGTTTATCGAAAAATTATATATATCTCAAACATTTTTAATGTTTCAAAAAAAAATTTTTTTTTACTCTGTGACGTTTTGTAGAATATTTCATGAAAAACACTAAAATAATTACATACTAGCTTTATTATAAGGAATACAATAAAGTAATCACAAAATAACTTTGATATTTTAGAATTATTGTTCACAATTTATTATCGAGTATTGGAAATAAAGCTTTTATTTTAATTTTGAAAAATTTACTTCAATACCAAAATATTTGATTTAACATAAACTAACCATTTGCTTTAGATAATGGCCTGACTTCTTAAACTAAAATTATATTAATTATTAAAATAAAATTATTACAGCTTAATATAAATATTATGTAGAATTCATTGTTGAATACAAAAAAAAAATATTTATTTAAAAAATTTAAATAATTTTTAAGAATTAAATTTAGTTTATAAAAAAGAAATAGTAAAATTATATTTTTTTTATCTTATATTCTTTTTCAATAAATAAATCTCAGTTTCTGATAAAAACTAGCATTAATTTTTTGTAATTGTAAACAATTATAATTATAATTAGTTATACATATGCAATTAATTCAAAATCTAAATATTTATGTATATATTAAAAATAAAATCCTTTTTCGAAATTTTCTTTCATTTTTTAAATCAGTTATTTTAGTAAAGAAACTTTCAAATTATTTTGTAAACATTTACAATTAATGTTATTATTATTTATTTATAATATATTATAACTTATATATGTATTAATGTTTACATACTATAGCAAGATTATAAATTTTTTATTTAAGTATACGTATAATATAATTAAATATACATTTTCTTTTTTAATTTTAATTAAATTATGTGAAAATAGTCCACAATTATTAATATATATTTTAATATTTGTAACATTAAAGACTAGATGCTTTAATTTAATTAATATTTCTAAGTTTTACGTATTACATTAGTTAACTGAAACACTTAATATTTTAATTTATTGCAAAATGGAATATTTATATAAGTATAAAAGATAGATTTAATAAATTAATAAAAAATAAAATAAATTTTCTTTTATAAAATGGTTTTGAACATTTTACTTAAATTGAAAGGGATTACAATTTTATTTTACATATCCATTTTGTATAATATATTTCAAAATACAATTTAATTAATATTTTTTTTTTTTTTAAATGTTTGAAAAATTTCATATTTGTGTTTACATTAAGATTGTATAACTTTAATTACAAATTATTTGAAAAAGAATTATTAATTTTAAGCAAATTATAGTTAAACATCATTTGTTATACATAATACAATGAAACAGACATTTATGTACATTAGATATTATTATAATACATTAAAAATATGATGTATTTACAAATATAACTAATATTTTAGCAAATGGGGTTTACAATGTAATGATATTTTTGTCCAAATAATAATTTTTCGAATTTTTTTAATTTTTCAATAATTTTAACTATATAAAAATTATTTATTTTAAAATCAAAGTGTTTTACTGAAACCTTATTGAATTTAACACACTTAAAAGTCAATCTGTCGTAAATCCCTAACAAAAATTATTTTAATTATTACTTATTTATTTTATTGTAAATTTATGTATATACACAATAATTTTTGAAAAATTTCACAACATTAATCCAAAATTTTGAATAATTCCATTTTAAGAATTTATTTATTTTTTGTATTGTTTATGTTTCAGTTTTATTTTTACTGTGTTTTAAACAGGAACAATATTTTTATATAAATTTAAAATATTAAAATATTTTGTATATTATGCACAATACTAAAAGTTACGTGTACATACATTTATAATTTTATTGTTCAAAATTTCTGACTTTTTGTTTTATTTATATATATTTTATTATTAAGTAGTAAAAATTTTCCTCTTTGTCCTTAGTGACGTGACTTAAAAGCTGCTTCTTTTATTAATTTTAAAAATTATGTATACGTAAATGTATATTATAAAATAGAACTAATACAATAATTTATATTTTAAAATTATAACAGGTGCATTGAATTAATTTGTAAATTTTTTAAAATTAATTCGAATATTCTGTATAAATTCGAGTTATAAATTATTAACAATTTAATAATTGTAATTGGAAGAATAGCATAATATACATAAAGTTTAGTTTAAAAATATTTTCAAATAAATTCTCAATTTCTGATACTTAAGATAAAAATTACAAATTTTCATAAAACATTAATTTTTCCTAAATATTTTTAATTTAAAAATCAACGAAACTAATTAACTTTTTTAAAGCAGTAAAATTTTCATTTATATATTAAAAAATTCTTGTTATTGCAGTATACATCTATTAATTATTTTGAAAATTATGTTTTACAAAATTTAAATAAGTGTTAAAAATAGAAGAATTAATTTCACTTTCTCCTATTTAACACAACTGTGTAGAAATAATGTTCTATTTGTAATTATTGTTCGTAGATAGTTATACTTAAAAATTTTAATTTTGGTATATAGCGAATTGTTTACCACATCTCTTGTTATTATTTATAACAAGTGATGATTTTAAGTTGTAAATTAGTTATATTCATTATATATAACATTGTGTCAATTCTGTATTATAGTATTTTTGTAGTTGATTTCAAAATTTTATGAAAATTATATCTTGTAAATTAAAACTAAATTTCTTTCCTTAAGAAATCATAATAATAAATCAAATTAAAACCTAACTATTTACACTAGTTAATTAGGTTTTTGTGAATCCATTATCACTGGAGTTACTTTAAAACAAATTCTATTAAAATGTTTGCACATTTGTTGTACAACCTTTGCACCATATTGCCAGTGCGCTAATGTGGTACCCAAGCATAATAAATATAATATTAAACGTTCGAAAAATGGTATGTAAAAGGCTATAATCATTGATATTATAAAAATTGGTGTCATCCAATGAAAACCTTCGCATCGAGTACTTGACATTTGAGATACTATTAAACGACACTACAAAATAAATAAATACAGTTAATTAAATTTTAATATTAATTTTTAATAAATGAGTACATTTTAATTAAGTTTAAATATTTACTTACGCTAATGTTACTGAATATTGTTCCACTTAGTAAAAACAATGCTCGCGGATCCTTCTCAATTATATTTGACGGTGATTTAAAAGCCCAAAATAAAAGTAAAAACATAAATGTTAAAAATGGATACATTGGACGTGCTGCTTCACTAAAAGGTCTCATTTTTCCAGTTTTATTTTTGTATGAACTGAAAGTTAAAAAAGTTAGTAATTATTATAATTCCAAAAATAATTGATTAAAAACACAAAATTATCAAATTAAAATGGAATATGAATATCTATTATTAACTACGCCCCGTTTATATCGGGTTTAAATTTTTTTTTTCTCCCGTCATTGATTGTGTAACAATTTTTTGCTAAATTTCATTTCAGTAAAATAATTCTCAATTTATTTTTTCAATAAATTCTTTTTATCATACTTAACTTTTAAAATTTATAATAATTAAATCTATAGTAATTTATTTGGTTTTAATTTTTATTTGGTGAATTTTCATTTATATTTTGGCATAAAAATAATAGATTCGTTTTGCTAAACAAAAACAAAAAAAAAAAAAAAAACAGAAAAATATTACAAAGAAAATAAATGAAAATATAAACCTATTCATTAATAAAATTGCAATACTTTTCGCAATCATATTATATAATAACTAGGTAAATTGCACCTTATCAATTATAATACCACATGTATTTAAAAAAAGTTAATTAAGAAAATAAATTATACCGTGACTACGATAAAGTCATTCAAATAATGTTATGTAATCAGAAAAAAAAAAACAAAAAAAAACTTATCAGGAAAATACACACAAAAAATTGTTTTAAATTAGTAATTCATTCAAATTTTGCGAAACGTAAAGTTAATAGCATGAAAGTAGCATAATTTATAATTAATAGAATAATATTTTATTTTTACATATTTTTTCACTTACTTATGGACATTATAAATTACCATCGGTATGTTAGACATAGCACTTATATGAAGTGTTAATTCCATTGTTCTTCCTAATGGAATATTAAATGGAAGATCATTTTTCCAAATTTCATAACCATAATGCCATGTTATTAAGTAAAGTAATGTTGAACCCCACATACTTAAATCATAGCCCCAGGGTAAGTACAAAACGCCAGTATTATATTTTTCCCAATGTGATACATAAAAATTAAAAAAAACTGTCCAACAGATATAATACATTCTTATTGGTGGTATTGAAGTTTCACATCTTCCAAATATGCTATATAAGCAAGATGGTATTAAAACTGCTGTGTAAGAATCTACAAAAAAAATTGTAAAGTTAAAACTAATTTTGTAATTCTTTGTCGCATATCTATATCAGTGTGAACATTATGCAACTTATATCACATCGTACCTAAACCGTGATCAAATAATTCCCCTAAAGGTCCAGATAATCCAATTCGTCTAGCCTGTTTACCATCAATTCCGTCTAATGTATATGCTAAAAATATGTTTATGGCGCAGGCTAACCATACCCAATTTGGTATAGGTACTGAACCTTCTTTGCCCGAACTAGCAAAATAATTCCAATCATACCATGATAATAATACAAAATTAGCTGCACTAAATAAAAAACCAGCAAAAGTTAATGTATTTGGTGCAACCCATTTTGGACAAAACTAGAATATAAAATACAAAATAATTAAATTATTATTTTTATATACTATTATTCAATTTAAATTAATATTTTTATAACATACCCTAACGATATAATTCCAAAATGGATGCATAACATAAACGCTAAGTGGAGAAGTATCTCGTGCATTGTACTGAAATTACAAAATATAATTTAATATTAAAATTTTATTAATTAAAATATTTAATTAGAATTAAGCAATATTTATTGCCCCCGTTAAAACGTTATCAGTATGACATACTTAAAGTTTACTGAACTTTTACAATAATTAAATATTTACTTAAATCTATGCTGACAAAACGAAGCAATTATAGAGATAAGAGAATTTGTTTAAGTACGTATATTTTGTCTAAATATCTAACATACTTAGATTCAAATTTTTATTAAAATATAAAGTAAAAGCTTTCTAATAAAAATATTATTGGGATTTCAAGTCGATACATTATTTCTACACTTAGTAATTAATTAGTTATCTTTATTACAAATATTGAGCCATTAATTAGTTTTAATGGAATTAAAGAGTAAAATTAATAGAAAGATTTTTTTTTACAGCCCTATAGAAATACATAATAGAATATAGGTACTCATTTTAAATATTTTGCTATATATTTGTTAAACGAGTGTTTGTTATTAATATATTTCAAAAGAAAAAAAATTTGCTGATAAACAAATCTGTACAAAATTTTTTAATTAAATTTCCAGCAAATAAATGAGTAGTGTGTTCAAATAGTTAGACACCTGTTTCAAAAATTATGTAGAAAACCAAATGATAACAAATTTTAAAATAAAGTTTTTATGAAATAGAAGTATTTATATATTAGGGTGAATCTATTTCGTTATAATGTCACAGTGGTGTATTAGTTTTTTAGATGCATAATTATATACATATTTTTTCACCCCTCGGAGAAGCAAAGGGCTGGCATATGATATCGCACACAGCCATACATCATTGGGTTTTTAAATAGGTAGGTGACTATCCAGCCGTAGCTTTTTCTCTATCAATGTTGGTATAATGTGTCTTGATTTATGGTAGCTAAGTATTTGGGTAGCTTCCAAAATAAATTACACTGTTTTTACATTTTTCTGAATAATTAAATTAAGCAATATATTATCATATTTCTTAGTTTAAGTCATAACTTTTCAACTAGAATATATTTCATTATTATACTAGATTGACTATCAAAATTAAAAGGTATAACAAAACGATGTTTATTGCCTTGGATGCTTCCTACAGGGTTATTGTTATTTAAAAAACTGGGAATAATAAGTTGTTGGTTACTTAAATTAATATAAAGTGTTACGCCACTGTATTGCTAAAAATAAAAAAAAAAAAAACAAATAAAAAAGAAAAATTAATCATATAAATAATCAGAATCATTCCTTTACTGTAGGTGTATTACGTCATAATAAACGAAAAAGGTATGCTCGCGTTCATATAGAATAAACTCTGTATATAATATTTATGTATATTTATAATAAAAAATTGCGCGATACTATACATACATAGCTTACGAAGCTATAGCTACTTATAAGTATATATATAAGTATTACTAAAAAAAAAAGCATTACTCAAATGTTGAAATAATAAACTGAATCTTCTGAACTACTAAAATATTAAATAGTTTATAAGTATGTTGAATTCCATGCATTGAATGACAATTTTTCATATTATTTTAAACTAGTAATAGGTAAAATGAAATCAACAAAATATACATATAAATTACATAACTATATATTTACATTTCTATAGGTGCCTTACTGTTTAACTATATGAAAACTAAAATATTCTTTTAGAATTAAAACTTTCCTTCTTTTGTAATTGTATTTTGATTTACATAAATAAACATCAAGTACATGAGAACATTTAAGAATATGTAAATCTTTTAATTCAATAATTAAGCGATTAAATCAGAAATAGCTAATTGAATATGAATGAATCAAAATTTTAAATTAGATTCAAATTTAGATTAATTTAAACAAAAAGAGTAGTAATAAATATTCGGACCGAAGCAATAACAATAATATTTAGGTAGGAAATTAAAAATGTTTTTAAAAATTTAATAATTTTCTGGAACTTCGAAGTCAATTTTAGTTTGATAAATTTAATAAAGTTCTTGTACTTATTTAGGTAGGTACCTCCATACATTAATTTCTAATACATAATGGGGCCTAGATAAAGCAAAAATACTTTAAAACAATGTTCTTTTTATGTTTTCTTTTGGAAACAATTTATTTCAAATAAGGAGAGCAAATAGAATTTCGTTAACAAAATATTACAAATATTGATTTTTTACAATATATGAAAGTATTAAAGCAGGAAATTTTAAATATAATATTTTGTTCTTGTTTCTGGAATACAATCTATACACAGTTTACCTAGAAATATAGCTTAAAACATAAAATTTTTAAAAGCATTTTTAAAAGTTTTAAAACGAAGGCAAAACTACTTTTAATAATATTATTAGCCTTGTTAAATACTGTATATTTGTATGTATATAAGAACATAATGTAATTATATGGTAGTTATACTTATTTAACCATTAATTAAATAAGTATGCATATATGTACATATATATATATGTATATACGAGTTTTATAGCGGCCATAAAAACTTCATGCCAGACGTTGTATATTGCATCTACTATTGTTTGTATTATGTATACACACCATGTTATACATTATCATTAAAAAAGTTTACTAGATCTAATAAAAACTAGTTTTGTAAAACATCACCGTTTTTTTTTTTTTTTATTTATTTCATTAATTTTAATATTAGATGATTAAAATATCTGATTTTTTAAATCTTATGTAAAACTTATCTCTCACCTTATAATTATCGAATCCAGACAAGTGCTCTTTGGTCAAATAATCTTGTTCTAATAGTTCTTGAAATAATATTTCTTTATTTTTCATTTTGCTAACAAAAACCAAAAAACTAAAAATTATAAAAATTCCAAGTAAAATATTTTTCTAAAACTTTTATTTTTATTCGGGATTTTCACTTATGGTACCTAAGTATTTAGGTAACAAATTAATTATTGATTTTGTCGGTTCTATGCTTCTTCTTCTTTTTTCTTGTAGACGTTATTTCAATTGAAGTTAACCAAAAAGAACCACAATTCCACAATTCCTTATATTTTATTCAATTTATAAAATTTGATGAGATAAAATTTTTTTTTTATATTGATTTTACAAATATTTTTTTAGTTACATTAAAATTTAGAATATTATTAATTTATTTCACTGCAATGCAATTTTGTATTTAAAATGAAATTCATTCATAAAACTTAAAAAAAAAGACAGAACAAACAACATAAAAAAATATCAACACCGCGTTTTTTTTTCTACTTTTCTAAAACTAAAAAAACTGCACTGCAATATAAAAACAAATTAATAGAAAAGCACAACAAAAAACAATTTTTCAATTTTGATAAATGTCAAAAGTTCAAAATGTCAAATTGAATTTTGACAATAATTTTTAAATAACAACAACAACAACAAGATATCAATCAGAAACATTTGCAGCGGCGCATAGATAAAATTCGATAATGAAATATTGTGTAGGATTTCCATGTGTAGTCTTTATTTTCGAAATTCGATTTTATATAAAAGAATCTGGTTTCATATGTAAACTTATATTGATCTTCAGTAAAATTGCAACTAAATGTAAAATTAAATAATTATTTAACAGCATTTTTGTATGCATAACATCATTCAGTTGTTCTTCTTTCATTGTAACGTCGATTTTAAGTATAATATTTTTTGGATTATAATGAAAACAACAGAAATATTTATCGTGTCATTCATAGAGAAAAAAGGAAAAGAATATAATATAGGTAAACAAATTTAGAAAAACAATCAGTTGTTCTCAAACTTTTGTTTATAGCAAACGATATACAATAACCAATAACGTAAAAATGCTTCAAAACTAAATCAAGATACTTGATTTACGACGGTGATGTGTTCTATAAAACAGACGAGTTGTTGTAAGACGAGTCGTAGTTAAAATTGAAAACAGAAAAAAATAATATTTCGCGACAAAATGTCAGAATTCATATGGAGAACTCATACTAAAATGGGACTGTCCAGACAGAATCAGGCGAAATTATGGCAGCAAATTTAACTGCCGCCGGTGAAGTAGTCTAAATTCATATTTTATTATAGTCCGCCATTTCCTTTCCCCGCTTTGGTTTGGTTGTGCAAAAACCGATTTTTTTTTTTAGAAAAGTATATTCATTTTTATTTGAGTAAAACTGCAAAAATAATAGTAGTTGTGTTAATTAATAAATTTTAAAAGAAAACTGTCGTAACTCCAAATTTTCATGTATCAGATACGTCATAAATCGAGGCCCTAGTAAGAAAATTATTTTGGTTTATAATATAAATGTCATAACGAAAAAGAATTATGCAAAATTTATATTTTTAATTGTTTATGTGTGCTGAATAATAAAATAGTGGAAAATGATAAAAATAGGCTCTTGAAAATATTGCAACTTTTTAGAATATCTTATTGATAAGTTTTATAATTAAATAAATGTTGTTCTTATAAGGATTGTATTAACTTTGTAACTTATTTTCAACTAAATACTAATTAGCGAGTATAATGACAAAGTTTATGAGAAGAGTGTCATGTTGTTTTTATTTCAGTTATGCTTGTACCTAGTCGTACCATACATTATTCCTATTTAAAAAGAATATATTCTTATATAAAGTAAATATTGTAACAAAAAATTCTGTTTAAATATTAAAAATTAAAAAAATGTTAATTTACATGAATCTACTATACTTGTATGTATCTACTGTACCAATGCTTTTTAATTTAGTGTATAATTTTAGTGTCAAATTTTTGAAATTGTTTTACAAATTATTTAAACTTTTCTATATTAAACTTTTTAAATAACCAAAACTAGCTTTATATGTGTGTATATATAGTTATGTAAATCAATTTTCGAATAATTTATTTTCTAAATTACGATTGCATTTTAATTAAAGAACACACCTTTTCTTCACCTCATATTTATAACACATGTACCGGTCTATTTATCCTGCGGTGCAATTGCAAATAAAAATTTCTCTTACTTTATTCTTACATTATTATATTAACTGTTCTCAAATTTTAACTTTCTTTCTCTCATTTTTTTTTTTGTTTATAATTTTTATTTATACATATATTGTTTACCTCCGAGATTATGATTAATAAAATAGAAAAAAGTAAAAAAAAAAACCAAAAAAAGAGAGTGTGGAGAGCAAAAATTATTTTCCTTTTTGTTTATCAACTCCACCTAAATAAGTACACTATAGTTAATAGTATACATCATGAGGATATCAACAGTTCTTTATATTCAAAATTTGAGATAAACCACGTGTAAATAATTGTCAAAATCATATGTTAACGGTATTGCGCATTACAATAAAATTTTTTGAAATACTCAATTTGTTTTCCCCATTTTACCGTTCTTTAACTAAGTACACAAAGTATTAGATTCTCCCACATGTAATATAATGACATAAAATGCATGGTTGAGCGATGTTAATGAAAGACAGAAAAAAAAATGGCGATTTTCATATTTTCTTTCCCTTGCCTGATTCATTTCATTCGCTATATAAAACTGTCAGAATTCTAAAAGAATTCCGTCAGTATTCAAAGAGATTTACGTAAAGAAAGTATCCTAAATAGTTTTCATTTTCCTTTTATTTTTTCTAATTCTTTTTGGAAAATTAAATGCAATAAAATTACTTCATTAAAAATAAAAAAAAAAAAAAAGAAGAAGAAAAAAAAAATAAGGACATTATAAAATTTAAATTAAAAGAAGAAAGAAATATTAATTGTTAATAAATTTAAAAAAAAGTAATAAAATGCACAAAAATTTAAGAAGAAATTAAAAATATTAAAATAAAAATTATTTTTTTTTAAATTAAAATACAAAATATATAAGAGAAAAAATATTTTTATGAAATAATGTAAAAAATCAATTTTTCGGGAATTCGTTTTTATAAAACAAAAGAAAAAAAGAAGAAAAACAAAAGAAAAAAAAATTTTTTGAAAGGAAAATTAAAAAACAAAGAAAGAAAAAAGAGAAAAAATTTAAAGTTATAAAATCAAATTTTATTTTTTTTCTTTTATTTTATTATTTTCTTTTTAAAATAGTTTAAGGATATGGCCAGAAAAATATCCTTTAATGTTGTATTTGCTTCTGGTAAGTTTATTACTAATTCCCAATCTAATTTTTTTCATATACAAAATTTATTTACATTTATTTTTATCACGGTTTTTGGTACTTTTTACAGACATTTAATTTATTTTTTATATTTGCATCATACATACATAATGTATATATGTACTAGAATCTAAAGGATTTTTTTTTTCATTATATGAAGGATATTATAAGTAAAAATCTTTATGGGATAGAATTGAAAATTATTTTAATTTGAACATTTAAATTTATAAGGTTAGATACCTAATATAAAATAGGTTATTTTAATTACTGTGAATTACCCGGAAGTTAATGTAATTTTTTAAGGGAAAAAGTAAAGGATGGTCCATTTGTATAATTTATATGAAAATTTTAAATAAATCTTGGATTGAAAAATTTAGAGAAAAAGCCATATAACTAAAAAGGACTTTAGTGTACTTTGCTTAAAAATTTTCTATTTCTTCTTTTATTTTATCAAAATTTTTGTATGAAGCCTTGAATAAATCGATAATTAAAAAAAAAATTTTTTTTTTGTTCCCTTGCGTCTTCTATATTATAAATTTTCAGTTTATATATGTAGATACATACATATATATGATTTATACATGATGGAATAGATATATACAAGTATTATACAATGATCCGCATTATTATTTTTATATTTTTGGTACTTGTACATTTTATTTTTTGTATGTTCCTTATATATATGAGTGCATTTACTTTTGTCAAATAACAAAAATTATAAAATTAAGTTTTACATCTTGTTTGTATAGCACAGTAAACTATGTATATATATAATAAATTTTATAATTTTATATTTCTTCTGATTTTTAATAATAAGACTTTGTTATTTGTGAATATATATGTATATAGATATGTTGCTGTTATGGATATATATATATATATATATATAGTACGTATTTACATTTATAATACAAATTGATTTCCTTTGAATATATGAAAAAAAATAACACAGATTGAAATCGAAAAATTTATATACTTACATTCTATAAATTTTTATTATAGCTGTATACTATATAGGTATATATATGAATCACATACCTTACCTTGCCTACTTTTTTATGAGAATTATATCTACATATCTATATTATAAAAAAATGGAAAAATAAACAAAAATGTTCTACATATATTGTAGGTACATATATGAGACAAAATCAAAATAATAAGATGATTATTTTTGGATATAATATTATAGATTTATATAGAAGCTGAAGATTTATTTATACGTTTCTTCATACATATACATAATATATTTTATACATATAAGCACGATTAGGTTAAAGTTTCGGGTGACTGAATGAATACAACAAGAAAAAAAAAAAAAAATTATTAAGAATAAATATTTTTGTTTCCATTTAGGTACTTACTTACCTATTCCATTAAAATTAGCAATAATAATATGTTTTTGTTTTGAAAGAAATTTTTTTTTTCAATATAAACAGTTCATTGATTGAATAATATATGAAAAGTTTTGTTGAAAAATAATATTATATACGTTATAGTAGAAAATAATATAATAGAAATGAAAAGACAATGGTATATGTATATATGTATAACGCGTATGTCTATAAAGATTTAAAGAAAAATTGATTATTATTTTCAAATCTATGGGTTGGGCTTTTTTTTTCAACTATAAGTAGATGAAAATATGACAATAATTGCATTAGTAAACATATTATAATTATTTCATATTCTGAATAAATTCGTATTATATATGAGTATATATATATATATAAATTCCAAAAACAAATGTGCAATTTGTATAAGATATGAACCACGAATGAACTAAAAGAAGTGTATAGCAAAAAAAAAAATCAGAAATTTAGGTTAAAAGGAAATGCTATATAATATTTAGTTGGCATATATCTATATGAATATGCATTAATATAATATAATAATATGAATATATCACATTGTGTATAACAGATCGTTGAATTCAGAAAATTTTCTTAATATTAACTTTCCATATAATGTTAATACAATTTTTTAATTTTTATTTATTATCTACCAAATTCAATATAAGTTACTAATTATTATACAGAGTTCAGATAGACCTGTTAATCCTTTCATATCTGTAGAACATTGGTTTATAATACAATTAATGTTTTGAATAACAGTTTCTTCTAAAAGAGAACCTAGTCAAAAATCTGTTAATTTTAATATAATAAATTTTTATTTTCCAGTATTTAAAATTAAATTTATAGCATTATTAAAAATAATAAAAATTGCAAATTATTCAAAATTAGGGAATCCCAGAATATTTATGCGGTTGTTTTTGTGGGTAATTTTTGCAAAACACAAAAATTTAAACTAAAAAAAAAATTTATAACCTTATATAGGCTCCTTGTAATTATTCATATACATTAGTATGTATATATGTAATAAATATAGATGGGTATATGTATGCACAATACGGGGTGAAAAAAAATTTTTTAATGGATTTTTGCTAGGGCATAAAATAAAGAAAAAAAGAACAAATATTTAAAAAAATTTTTTCGAATATCTGCAAACACATTATGTGTTTATTTTGTTTTTTCTACATATACGCATACATACATATATAAATAAAAGGAGCACAGTTTGAATTCCTAATTTGAATTACCAAAAAAAGAAAATTACCAATTTGTAGAATAAGAAATATATGATTTTAAATATTATGCAAAAATAAATACAAAAAAAATATGCAAAATGTAAAAAAAATCACAGCATATATGTATACATACATAATTCATGGAGGTTTGTTTAATATTATATAATATAGGCATTTTATAGGGAAATTTTTTGTAAGATGCAATCTCATGGATAATTTTACAAAATATAATATATTCAAGTAACCTCATATTGTACACATAATAATGCATAATAAATGAATTAATAACAATAAAATCATTATAACTGTATATAAATATATGTATGAATAAATAATAATAATTTCTTCAGTATAACAATTTTTATTATCCTGTCACAGACAGAAATTGGAGTTAGTCTTTTATATAAATTCTTACATATTGAATGCGTTCCACCAAACACAAGTCATAAAATAAAATCTTCACAATTTTTTTGTGATATTGTAGAATGCATTATAGACAAACGCTTTGACACAACTTTTCATAATAATAAATTCATCGTAATATTTTCATGTAGAAAGCGTTTCATGCATTTTACATTTTTTCATAAATAAAGTTCGTTTTTGACAAATTTAAATTGAATTTTTTATAATTTTTATAGTGCAAAATGCATTCCAGACGGACGTCTTTTTATAATTTTTCATAACCGAACTGGGATACCCAAACGAACAGAGTTTCTTTATAATTTTTAACTTTAATAGCTAGTTTTTGTAAAAAGTCATTGAAAATCTATTATTACCATAATATGTGCAATATAATAAAGCATATTGTAAATTTACAAAAGACAATATATCAAACATTCATAATATTAAAATGGCGATATAATTGAAAATAATTTATATGTGAGATACACATCAAATGGTTCATATATAAAAGAGAATAATTAAAAAGCTAATTAAAATTAGGCGTATCTGAAGGTAAAATTTTGAAAATAAATCACACAAAATGCATTGCAAATGTAATCAATAATTCACAAAAAAGTGATTTTTTTTTTCTTTTAAATTCAAAATTATTATATAAAATATTGATGTATATATATCAATAGGTATTATGTATAGATGTTAGGCTCATATACGATAAAACTCGCAATTTATTATTCACAAATGTATAAAATTTATTATTTCTTAAAAGACTTTTAATTTATAAATGATTCGCTAATTTATCAACGATTTTTATGTGTATTTAGTTGTACTATATATATGTTGAAAAGTATGGTATTGAAATCTCTTAAGAATATCGTCCTGAATAAACGATATTTATTTTTAAGAAATTTCATTTTAAAGACGACTATTATTAAAATTTTATAATTTTAAAGAAAAATTTTAGATTTAAAAATGGAAATTTTAAATCTATTTCTAAAATTCATTGCAATAATATTTGATTTATTTATTTTGAGAGACTTAATAAGGACATTTTATTCGATTATTATTGCATTCATAATGATTTATTTGCCTATTTTTTCCTCTAATTTAATGACTTCCTTTAGCGAATTTTTTTTTCGCTTCAAATACGCGATAGCATTTTTTTAATTTTTTTTTTTCATATTTAAACGTATTTGTATTCGAATTTCAATCGCTTTCATTGCCAGAAATATTTGGAATTACAATGCATTTATATGGTATTATCTCTCATAGTAAAGGTAAAATATTTATATAAAATTTAAATTATGCAATTTTCAGTATTATTAGAAATCATTTCTGATACAGAATAATATACATTTACACTTACAGTGAAAAAACTTACATATTATAAGTGATTTTTTGTTAAGCGAAAAAAATGGAGTTGTTCCAATAAAAATGAAAATTATTAGAACATTAAGAAATTATTCAAGCGATTTTTATACACCCTTGATGTGGGCAGAGATAACATTTGTTTTTTTTTATTATATTGTATATTTGCATATAATATGTAAATAATATTTTACTTTTTTTTTTTAAATATATTTTATGTGAATTTTTTACTTAGAAATACCCACATACGAATAAGGATAATAAAAGAAAAATATTTTATTTTATCAAAGGATTTTGCTTTAAATTATGCAATTTTGAATATATATGAAATTTAAATATATTTTTGGCAATTTTGTAAATAAAAATAATTTTTGTAAATAATTGTTAATGGAGATTCAATCTATTTCTGAAAAATTAATCGCGAATTACAATTGGTGTATTCTTTTTTGCAGAAATATTAAACTTGAAATTATTCCAAAGTAATTGGGTGTATAATTTGTAATTAGAAAATTGTTTTGTATATGGAAATCAAATTATGTAGGAGTCAAAATTACTCTAAGATTCTAAATATTGACTATTTAAACTTTATTTTGTATATAAATATAATATGAACCAAATTACAGGA